ACATATGTATATATATAGAGAGAGAGAGAGAGAGAGAGAGAGAAAGACAGAGAGAGAGAGAGTATCTGCAACTGCTTGTGTATCAGGAGGTTGTCCGCTCGCGCGCGCGGGCTTGCCCTTCTTCCAGTGGCCAACTTGCTCACACACATCCTACTAGTACACACTGCTTTGCGGACACTAAGCCATGACAACAAGTGTATCATCTACGCGTTGTGACCTCACAACATTCGTCGAGCAAGATGAACACGAACGAGTTCAACCAGGGCATCAATGACCGATTCACCTTCTTAAGACTCTGCCCGAATGCATAATTAATCGGCGAACCACTGGTTATCAGCCGAAAGATCTTCCACGAGACCAGGAGTCTGTGCCTCCTGGTTCAAAAAATGATGTAGTCAGCATTGAAAGCAGTGCTGCGGCTCAAAAGGAAAACATAATGTTGTCTTTGGGCCCCCTGAGTGTGTCATCGGTCTCGACTCACGTTCTTCACAGAACCTCAGCATGAACTTCCCGCTGTCGGCGGGGGAATATTTGGCGGAAAACGAACCTGGCGGCCGCGATGCGTCGAGGGCAGAGGCGGACGCGGCCGACGCTGACACTGAGTGGTACGGCTCAAGCAACTGGGGCGTGGCGCCCGTGCCACCTAGTCTACACCGGTCCCACGCGGTCACGTCCCACGCGGAGGACGGGGGCGTGGCCCCGATCGCGTTCCAATCCCGTCTGACGACGAGAGGTCGGTGGGGTCGACGCCACGCCGAGGCGGAAACGTGACCGATGGCTTTGGTCCGGGGGGCGATCCCGAGGCCTGTGGCCCGGGGAACTCACCCGTGTCGGCTGCGGAGCTGTCGCCGCTACCGGTGCCCGTGGATTGCGGGCGCGTTCCGCCTAGCGGCGACTCGTGCGGGGAGGCGCCAGAACCGAGGGCCCCCGCGGCTGGGCAGCCGAGGGGAATTTTCAGTCAGTCGATGGGGTCCCCGCTCGTGAAGCGTACTAGGACGGAGGGCGTCCGCGGCGAGATCCAGGAACTCGAACTGGGGGGCTACCTCAGGGGCTGTGCCCTTGGGATCTCGCCCCCCTGGCTAGCCCTTGAAGACGACGCGCATTCGGGCGGCTCGCTGCCGATGCTGTCTGGGCCTCAATTCCCCGTGCGCGCTCGCGGAAAGCCGGGGGTGTAGGGGCCGAGCGACGGAGGCAGTCGCGGGCTCCATCCACCGCGTCTTCGTCCTCGCCTCGCTCGGCGCGCTCTATCTCGTCGAGCTATCGCGTCGACGATGTTTGCGCTGACAAGAGTCCCGGCTGCGCAGAGTTTCCCGAGCGCCGATGCCCAGGCCGTCGGGGGCAACGCAAGAAGGCGGTATGTGGGGCGCGTTCGGTCAGCTGCCCGCTCTGAAATCTGACTCTGCGCGAACTGCGTTCCGCCCATCATCCATAATTGCTTGGCCCTCCTTAACTTGGCATCGGGGTCAGTCGAGGAGACGTGAGAGGCGATGGTGGAAGAGTGGAATAGGGAAATAGTGCGCATGATGGAGCAGATATTGAGATCGGAACTTCAGCAGCGGGCTGCGGTTCGGGCCCAGGCCGAGCACGACCGCGTCGAAATGATCCGCGCTGTTGAGCAGCTAGATTAGAGGCAGAGAGTTCTCGCCCCTGAGAGGTCGATGCGAGCTGATTCGGAACTCCGAGAAATGGCAGGCTGGGTCGAGTCCTGTGTGCTGGCCGAGAAACGGGCTCATGCTCTCGAGAAGGACGTGGCGGAGAGGGCCAATAACGCCATTGGGGGGGCTGTTCAGACCCAGCCGACCCCGGCCTCGAGGATCGCCGAGGAACTTGAGGCCGCGGAGGCGCTCGACGTCTTTCTGGGGACGGAAGCCAAGGCGGCGGTGCAGAGTGCCCTAGCTGATTGGCAGGGCGAGGGGGCTGTCGCTGAGAGGATGGCGGCGGAAAGCGACGAGGTGATGCGGCGCGCGCAGAGCGAGGTCAGCGAGTCTCGTCAGCACGCGCAGGGTATTGCACAGGGGGCTAGAGCGAGTTGTGTTCGTGCTACTGCTGAATTGCACGATGCGTTGGTTACAGGGCGCAACGGATCGAGCTGGAGGCGAGCCGCGAAGTGACCGTCGAGCCCCGTGGCGTCCAATTGCGAGCGTCGCAGTCCACGGTGAGCTGGGGGGCGCAGCGTGGGCGACAGTATCGCGAGCAAGTCGAGCCTCGCGTGCAGAGCGGTTTGCAAGGGCACGCTTTCCACGCCGGCCTCGGGGCGGCTGAGGCTGTCTCAGTCAGCGCGCTTCCTCCCCCCCGTGGGGGAAGCGCCGCGTTCGGCGGCGCGCGCTCCTCGGATGGGTGGGCTGCGGTGCTTCGTGTGCAACGAGGCCGCGCATCATGATTGCGCGCTGCGCGCGCTGTTATACCGTGGCGAACGCTGCGATCGGGGGGGGGGGGGGGGGGGGGGGGGGGGGGCGATGCGCCGCCCGCGCTCCGGCCTCGGTGGAGATCTGCCGAGAGGCTGGGGGGGGCGTGAGGAGGGATAATAATAGTAAGAAGTGGGGCGTGAAGCGAGGAAAAGGCTTGAAGAGCGGATCGCCGCCCAAGCGGCGCGGGGAGCTGCGCAATTTCGCCCGCCCGCCATTGCTTGGGGTGCCTCGCGGCTGTGCCGCAGGCGCCTCTGAGCGCGCGGCCGAGCGGCAGGTTGGAAGCTGCGCGACCTTGCGCCTGCGGGCGCGCGAGGATTCTGCCGGGGCCGAGCGTCGGACGCCGTCGGCGATGCTCGAAGAGGGCCACGCGAAGCGTGGAACGCCGCGCCGAGGCGAACGTCAGAAAGCCAGAACTTCGCGCGGAAAAGAGGGCGGAAGCCGCTGCTACCGCAGAAAAGCAGGCTCAGGCGGAGGAGGACGAGGCCCGAGAAGAAGCAGAGCGCCGCTCGAGGAGGGGGGGGGGCCGAAAGCGCGCCGGCTGCGCCTGCAACCTCCCCCCCAGGTTATTCTCCGCCCGATCCAGGCGAGCCCCGCGGCGGCGCCGCTGGCGGGGGCGGCGCCTTTCGGGGCGACGAGTCGCGCGGGCCCGCGCCGGGGCAGGCGGCGCCCGCCAAGCGCGCTGAAGGCTCCTGCCCGCCAGGCGATGATGGTAGCGACCCGACGACGATTGGGGCGGTGATCCCGACGAATCCGACGCTGAGGGCGCGGCGGGTGATTGATCCGACGAGGAGACAGCGACGACGGAGGTCGTCGGCGGCGGCGTTCTGGCACGCGGCCTGGGGGCCCGCCCCCCGGCAGCGATGGCGGTGTCACTCTCCCCGTCGGGGCGCGGGGAAAAGCTGCGCATTGGAATGGCACCGGCGAAACGGAGGAGGTCAATGTAGAGTCTATCCCCGACGCGGCTGGCTGCGTGAAGTGGGGCAGGAACGCGGCGCGGCGCGTCGCATCTTGTTTCGCCGATTGGCAGCGGGCCACCCAATCGATTCGCGAGGCTTTCGGCGTGCCAGACGTCGAAGCAGAAGCGCTGAACGACCCCGGGGACTTCGGCAAGCTTGGCCTCGTGATCTCTTGGACTTGATGCATGAAATCAATCGAGTCCCAGAGGGCCCCAGTGCGTCGCCTCCGTTGCGGCGCCTGGCTTGTGAAATCGACCAGCTCGACGTCGTGGTGCTGGGGAAGTCGCAGGTGCTCTCGGTCCGCGCGGCCCTTCGCGCCGCGGTCGCGCGCGCTGCCGCCCGCGATGGTCATGGTCAGGTGTGCGCGTGTTTCGGGATGCGTGTTTCGGGTAAGGACGCAGACGCGGACCTCTGCAATTGCTGCGACGAGTGGATGGGAAACGCGAGCGACATGGGCGCGCCCCACAAGCCGTTCCGCCCGTCCATCCAGGAACATTTTCACAGGGAGATGAAAACGCGCCCCATACATGGCCATGGCGCTCACTATGTGCGACCATCGCAATGGCGAGTACGGCGGGGACATGTAATCCAGCGAGTGGTTGCTAGGTCAAATCAGTAGGCCCACGTAGACGGACCGGGGGTCCCATGATCGCACCATCCAGCGCAAAAAGCAGAGCGCCCGTGGTTTCTCCGTGGGGGGCGCGGGCCGCAGTGGCGGCGGCAGTGGAGGGGGCAGTGGCGGAGGCGGTAACAATGAAAGCAGGGGCTCCCCGCGCATGAAGGATGGGCGCCTCGAGAAAACCGCGGCGTGCATCGAGTCCGCGAGCTGGGCGTCAGCGCGCGCGCCCGAAGAAAGGGGCTCCTTCCTGAGCCGCGCCGGCCACGCCCGGCGCTTCCCCAGGCAGAAATGGCGACGGCGATGGGCAGGGAAGAAAATGGAGAAACCGATGACGCATGATGAGGTGGATGGAGGAAGGGGTCGTGGCAGAAGCCAGTGCCGCGGAGGCAGCGAGTCTGGGGGGTGGGCGGAGGCCGCCGACGATCCCAGAGCCGAGCATCGAGCGCGAATACGTCGAATATCGCTTGCGTTGTGCATTCGGTCGGGGCGCGCGCCCGTTCCCGCG